GATTCTTTTGCATGGTGAATATTAACGTTCGTTTAAAGCTAGAAGTGGCTTTTGTGGTGATTTTTTATTAGTGAAACATTACATTATCAAAAAGTACTTTAAAGTGTATAAATAAGTTACCCGGGCAATTGATTTACATTAGCCAATCAAATGAATGTCTGACCATGAAAAAAATATTGTATTTTTAAAAACTTTTATATGTAACATGTGTTTAATTTTTGCATAAAATTTTTTTAGCTAATATACTTATATAGAAAATGATCTACATTCACCCTACCCTTAATAAACTTTAAAAGATTTTGCCTGCGTCACATGATCGACAAAACCTAGTTGTGACGCGGTGTAACGTGAAATCAAAACAAACTAATGTAAGGTTAGATTAGATTGTAGATAAATGTTAGTTATACCCAAAATTTTGCAAGGAATTTTTTTTGTTAGAACGCAAAAGGTGGTTTCATAAGCAAAATTATGAGTTATAGGCGATTTTTTCAAAACATCGCTACTTTTTTCGATTTCACGTTACACCTGATCTTACGATCTGATTGGTCAATCAGGTGGGTGCATATGCGCTAAATTATAAAATTTCAATAGACTATTAGACAATTAGACAATAATACTATTCCTGATGGATCGACTTGATGGAGTTAAAAAAAAAAATTTATTTGAGTACTGTTCCTGATAGGGTTCTAAAACGAACCTAATCCTAACTTTCTTGCTAATCTTGCTAATACAGTATATAAAAAAAAATTAGTTTAAAACCAATAGACATTACGTAGACTCATTAGACTAATAGAATTTCAATAGACTATTACAGAATTAGACAATAATACTATTTCTGATGGATCGACAATACCGATCTTGATGGAGTTAAAAAAAAATTTATTTGAGTACTGTTCCTGATAGGGTTCTAAAAACGAACCTAATCCTAACTTTTTTCTAGAACCCTATCAGGAACGGTATGTAAATCTATTTTTTTCCCACCCTAGTACCGACGACCTATCAGGAATGGTATTTTGCGACTATGTCTATTCACAACCCTGGTTACACCTGATCTTGAAATCTGATTTGTTTAAGATCACGTGTCAGTAACTTTTTGGTGGCGATACTGAGGTACATGATTTTTTTTTGTTCTGCTGTCGAAATCAAGCGTAGAGTGTACTACTTTAGTTGATTGAGTTGTGAAAACAAAACCAGTATTGGAGAGCAGCTTGGTTACTATGCAACAACAGACAGTGGAAACAACGAATCAAGAAAACCAGCAAGAATGGCATGAACTTTTGAGCGAATTTTTTTTGAAAGTAAGATATACATATATGTATCTATTGTAAAGTATGCCACATGTATATAATTTTAAATCTGAAATGAATTCCCCTTTTTGATACAGATTCAAATGGTTGAAACAAATAGGGCTTTTCAAACGGAATTGATTGTTCTTTCTTCTGAGCATGAAAAGCAAATAACAAAGTATTTAGATCGATTATTACAAGAGTTAACAGTGAATTATCTTTTTTTTTTTTTATTCAAAATTTTTATTCATTTAAAAGTTTGATCTTATTGAAATGAATCTAAATTACATGTTACAGTTATGGAGGTCGAGAATTAAGGTCAATGAATCAACATCACCTATTAAGAGAAAAAACGATCAAGAAGATGGGTCACCGAGTATGTACATATAATTTAATTAATTTACTACACTAAAATATGTATATGTTTAATAATTTTGAATTTAATGTTTAGTCGAAGAGAATGAGAATCCGGCAAAAAAAATTCAAAAGTTAATGGATCCACAAATTGTTCAAATCAAGGCAACTAACTCGGAGGTAAATATTTAAAAATATTCATAAAAAACAATCGGATGATTAATTTGATTTTATCGTGAAATCTAGATTGAACAAAAAATCGATACATTTATTGATCACAAAAAATCCGAGATTAATGATAGTAATAGGACAGAATTTTTGCGAAAATCGAGTAACCCTGAAGGTAGTATGCAACACATTATGATATTTACGTGTACCAGAATATGTACCTAGAGATTTACATATAGGATAATATATATATAAATATAGATATTATATCGTGCGCTCGTTCTGATGCGGCAGAAATCAATCGCAACATTCAAATGAAACTTGATGTTGTAAACAATGAGGATGGACCCTTAGCGCGCTCAACGTTTTCATCAGCGCATCAACGGAATGAAACAAATAAGACATCACCAGCTTGTTTATCATCAGGAGTTGAAGAAAGAATACAGAATATCGAAAAACATTTAAATGTACAAATTGGTAAAAGATGAATAAATTTAAATTTGAGTATGTTTTTAGCAAAGTTTTTAAACTAAGGCGTTATTTATTAAATAAGTTACACCAGTTTCTCTGGATGTTTATGCAAGAATAAAAATTTTGGAAGATAAAATTATGCAACTCGAAAGGGAATATCCGCCTTGGGCAGCGTTAAATTTTAATCAGCCAAATCGACAAGTAAGTATCAACTGATAATAAAAGATTATAAGTATTAAACTACATTACTAAATATTATTAAATGTTACTAAATATTAAAAAAATATTATTAAATATTACTAAATATTGACATTAAAAAAACACCAGCTACCACCACCACCCGCGACAATTATTTCAAAAAACGTAAATAATGAAATAATTAGCAATGTGGCACCAACAACATTAGGAAAGAAAATAGCACCGAAACTTGTATCTATTCCTCCACCTAATTCTAATCCAGTGGTTGATGTGAGGGCAAATTTACCAAGCAATTTAACACAACAATCATTTAAATTATCACGTACACCACGTCCGATTAAACCCAAAGGAAGAGAACGTGGGCAAACATCACTAACACGAACAATAATGGAACAATTGAGGCCGATACAGTGCGTTGATAGTGAACGACAAAAGGATGATAGTTTGGTGTTGAATGAACCTACAGAGAAATCTTTGTTGAATTCGTAGATAATTAATTGGACAACTTAAGGAAATAGTTAACTGATGATTTAGAGAACAATAGATTTTATATTTATCGACTATGATTGTAGAATTAATTCCAAAAGTAATTCCAAAAGTAACTTTAAAAAAAGACAATTTTTTTGATGATTTAACGAGATCATAAAAAAGAAAACCGTAGGAATTAATAAAATTTTACTACAAATTCGAATTGATCTGATATACATATATTTATCGATGAAAAAAAAGTCAAACATCGATTATACATAATTTCAATTTGTACTGCTTTCAAAAAATATTTAGAGTTTATTATTTTTTTTTATGCGGAGTTTTACGAGTGCATCAATATTTTTTTTCAAATAGTATATGGGAATTTTAAAAATGCATTGATACTAATGCAGTAATGAGAATAATGATAACCCTCTAAACGACAAAGAATTAATTTCCATCAATTTGATTAGCAGTTGAAATTAAAATTTTTATTATCCATCAGTAACAGTTGTAACATATTCATAAGTAAAAATATTACAATAGTCACTATATTCAAGAACTTTTTTTTTTTTTTTTTTTTTTACAAACAAGATATTTTGATGAAAGCAATGTCGAGAGGATTATTAATGACCTCACGTATAAAGAAAGCTAATACCTTATAAAAGCATAAATGGTGGAAGATATTTGAAGAGTTGTTTTCTTTTTATAACAATGTAGAAAACCATTTTCATAGATAATAAGTCTTAACCTCCAAAACCATAAAGAGTGCGGCCTTGGCGTTTAAGAGCATAAACTAAAAAAATCACAGAGAAAGTACATTAGTAATGAAAGCAAGAATACGAAAAGAATGTAAAAGGAAATGCGAAAAAGAAATGCAAAAAGGAATACAAAGAAATGCGAAAGAAAGCGAATACGAGAGAAATCGGGAAAGAAGTGCAATATGAATAATAATAAGAGAGACAGGATCTACAAGACAAAATACCCACCGACGTCAAGAGATGTTACAGTTTTACGTTTTGCGTGTTCAGTATAAGTGACGGCATCCTTTAAAAGCGAAGAATAACAAAGTTTAGTTTACATATATATTTCCTAAAAAGGCAATAACCTACAAAGAACTTTTTGTTTTCAACAAGAGAAGCATAAAAGAGAAGTAGGATAAAAAAAGGGTTAACATACTCGAATAACGTTTTCAAGAAAAACTTTTAATACACCACGGGTTTCTTCATAAATAAGACCCGAGATACGTTTTACACCACCACGGCGTGCAAGACGACGGATAGCAGGTTTGGTGATACCTTGGATGTTGTCACGAAGAATCTTTCTATGACGTTTAGCACCACCTTTTCCGAGACCTTTACCACCCTTACCACGACCGGTCATTTTTTATATAAGGTATAGTATGAGAAAGACAAGAGATATTTGCAAAAAAGTAAGAATTAATTAATAAAATTTTTTGTTTTTTTCTGTATGAGAAACTTGAAAGGGGAGAAAGTGAATATGTGTAATTTCTCAGCTAAAAACGGTAAAAAGTACCATATATAAATATAGAAGGGGGGGCGCAAGTTCAGTTATAAGTGGTTACTCAAACATAGCGATAAGCTGATTGTTGTATAAAAAACCATTTTTTTAGTATCATTTATTCTTATTCACCTGATCGCGAAACTCCGGGCAATCGACCTACTTCACAACAATAGTGCGGATCGAGCACCGGATCATGTGTACAACATTCAGACTCAACGTGTCTGACGCATCAACACAATCAACATCATCAACATAATCAACATAATCAACATAAAAAGGAAACTCGTGGCAATATTATTTTGTAACATTTTTTATCATTTTTGTTATTTGTTATTTTTGTTTATTGTTTCTGTAATACCAAAGATAATTCATCAAATAATTCATCAAATAATTCATCAAATAACTAAGTTTTAACATTCTGAAAGTCTTTCTATAGAATGAATAACGTACATACGCACGCACTTATCAGTTATCTGTTATGTATGTACGTACGTACGTACATACATTTCTTTTTATCATTCAAATGAAATTAGCCAATCAGTTCTTCTTTTTCAATCACTGAAATGCGATTATTGTGATTATTACAATGTTTTTTAATGCTAAATTCTTAAACGCATGTACATACGTACTTACATATGCAAGTACTTATGTACCTAAAGATTGCTTTAAGATCTATAAGATTTATTAACGTTAAAAATGTTATTTGTTATACAAAATTAGTCGGGTTGGTTGGTTCCGAACTAAAATGTTCCGGAGCTTCTATGTCACGAGACTGGTAAATCATATTCTTAGATTTGCAAAAATTGAACATCGAAATCCATGTTTTAATGATAATGCCTATTCCAGGCTGCAATGAAGATCGATAAACAATGGTATTGCAGTATTATAGAATGACTACTCTATAATTGGTTGATATATTGCTCGGGTACTCACTTTTGGACTAGTCTTAAAAGGGATTTACTACCTAAAATAATTCGAACCGAAACTAATGGGCTTATAAAACGAAATAACATTACCAATTATTACTACAGTATTGGTAACTTTACTAACTATATATAGTTATATATATAAGAATGCAAATTCAGCGGAGTGAAAAACGATCAAGATTGTTTAACGTTAACGTACCAGTACGTATGTACATACAATACCAGTACAATGCGGCTGTATTGTACGTAGAAACTACTTATTATTTATAACCTTTAATTATAACCTTTGGGTAATAAATGTAATTAAAGTACATACCGGACACATACGTATGTACGTACTAACCGCTAAGTAGATAAATTCAAGTGACTGCTTAACGTTAATTAACGTATCGGTATCTATATCGACTGAATATGTCGACTGAATTTGTCGACTGAATTTGTCGACTGAATTTGTCGACTGAATTTGTCGACTGAATTTGTCGACTGAATATATCGCCTGAAAATTAGATTAATATACAAGATTAAAGTTTCGCTACTATTTATAGATCAAAATTTTCTTTGATTTAGTCAACAATCTTGCTTTGCTATACTTAAGACTACGTAAATATCTAATAACAATCGATAAGGTTGAAAAGTGAATATGTTTATATTGATATACATTTATGTACATTTTCTTGACAAGATTAAATTTAGCTACTTACTCTTGTCATTCTAATTTCACCGTAGGTAAATTATCCACGTGACTGGTTTGGGGATTATCGTTATCACAAAATTAAATCAAAAAAAAAAACGCGTCGACATATATAAACAGCATAGAGTTAGCATCGTTAGCATTTTATCATTTTTTTCACTCTATTCTAATCTCATTATTAATCATTACAAATGCCAAGCCTTCCTGCGGACTGTCTTTCTATAATATTTATGCACTTTCACAATGACCTAACAACTCTTTATTATTGTCTTCTGGTAAACTCTTTATGGTGTGCAACTGCTATTCCGATATTGTGGTCAAATCCTTGGAAATATCATTATGAATTGCTTTCAAATGGTTGTTTATCAACTGATCATAAACGATCGACTCATGTGGAAATTCAATCCTTGTTACTTTTGAAGACTTTCTCTTCTTGTTTCTCTGCTGACTCAAAACTTTTCTTACTTAATTACGGTATCCGTATCGATTCTGGTCCTCCTCTTTTCAACTATGCAAAATATTGTAGATCCTTGGACACTTATGACATAGATTACATGTTAAGAAAGGCTCAAAGAAATCATCTTTGTTTTTACACTGAAGACACAAGAGACTTTGTAGGAGTGGCAATTTACAGATTATTATTTCTTCAAAG